TAAATAAACATAATTTGAAAGTCTCCTGCAAATAAATGATGAAAATCCTGCGTATTTTACTGTATCTATGCAACCTGTAAACCCATAAAAAGCAGAAAGTTAACCTCCGGAGAGCCAAAGCTGTTATCTGGTTGTGCTCTGTTCCAGATCAGTTTAAGAACTAGACTTTGTCCTGGTTGAACTTTTCAACCATTTGCCACATTTAAGGCTTCAAACATAACGATATAAAATTTTTATTTTTGTGAAAAATCAGTGGGACACTGTCATGAAGTGGGAGGAAATGTATTGGATATTTCAAACTTTTATAACAAATGAAAACAGAAAACTTTTTATTTAAGGAAAATTAAAGAAAATTGATGAAAAAAGGTTACAGCCCTTTATATTCTGTTCAATGAGGCCATTCTGAGCATTTTTAGTTACTTTAAGTCTCCAGAAACAGGAAGAAAGTCCTGCATGAACACCTGTGGTTCTCTGTCTCCACCACCAGGGGGCAGACGCCTTCTGACCGGCTGCACACAGACACATTTCAGCCTCAGAAGTGATGCTCTGTGGTGACGTCATCGTAGTCATCGTCCAATCCCGGCTCAGCCTGGAGGGGCGGGGCCGTCGCCACGGAGACGGGCTGTTTACTTCCTGTAATCAGAGCAGGTGAGAAAGAAAATGAAGAGATCAATAAAACATGGAGAGTTCAGTCAGAGAGGCCTGAAAACCACTGACTGATTGATTGATTGATTGATTGATTGATTGATTGATTGATTGATTGATTGATTGATTGATTGATTGATTGATTGATTGATTGGCTGGTTCATTGATTGACAATGAGACACAGGTGGAGGTGATCAGGGAGGATTCAGGAAACCAACAGAGAGCAACACTGGGACCAGACAGGAAGGAAACAAAACAGAACAGGAAACGTGACCAGACACCCAGCACAGACAGAGAGCCTGGATTGGGTTTTACTGCAAATAAACAATGAAAAAAGGAGATTTCTGTTTTGTGTTTTGTTCTGGTTTCGCTCAGGTGAAAAATGTGACCAATCCAGTTGCTTTATCAGGCCTAAACAGGTAGTTTCTAGTTTATTTAAGATGTTTATGCTTTATTGACAGGTTGTGTGATCATAGAGGAAGAGTTTTGTTTACAGAATCTATTTGGGTGTTTATCATTTTTAAAAGTCTGTAATTTTGTGGAAACATGGAAACGGTTATGGAAACAGAGCTCCTGTCATCGGTGTTTGTTCAGACTTTGCTCTGTGGGGCTTTGGCTCCCTCTAGT